CTTTTTTGACTTTAAAAGCTTGCGGTGAAATTTAACTTTGCGTGAACCTCCCTCAACCTATAAGCCCTGCGAACTTTATTTAACACAGTTAACACCCCCGAAGTTTGGGGGTGTCTTGCTTAATCCCTCCGAACTATGTGAACTTATATATATATATATATGTCTTTTTTGACTTTAAAAGCTTGCGGTGAAATTTAACTTTGCGTGAACCTCCCTCAACCTATAAGCCCTGCGAACTTTATTTAACACAGTTAACACCCCCGAAGTTTGGGGGTGTCTTGCTTAATCCCTCCGAACTATGTGAACTTTTACAACGTAACACCTGATGGAGTTGCCCATTGATGATGAGACCAGAATATCCTTTTTTTTTTATGTAACTTTCAGTTTTTTTTTTCTGGGAAAGGACAAAGGGACAATTTAATGAACTTAGATGTAATTTCATCTTCTGCTGTCACAGGCTCGACACAATGGCACGTAAATCATCATACTTGGTGTTACTTTGGGGGTGAAATGAAACAAGTTTATGGGGGTTAAAGTATTAAACAAAGTTCTAGGGGGTTTATCTACAAAACGCAGGGCATTATGTGAAATGTACTCTTCGCCATTATTTATAAAAGAAAAAAAAGGACCAGATAAAAGCCGGATGTAGTCTTTCCCTTTTCTATGCTTGGCAAATTGGTAGTTATATATTTTCACTATTTTTTGGCAACACCTGTAATTTTTAGAACTTACATTCAAATATACTAAAATTTTTAAAACTTGCACTTAAATACTCTTATTTATGCAAAATTGAGAATATTTAAGTGCTACAAACTTTAGGATGTCTGAGTGGCAGTTTTTAAAAACTTAGGATATTTAAATAAACGTTTTAAAAAAAATTGGAATATACTAGTGTCGCCAAAAAAGATGAGAGTATATAAGCGTAAATTTTAAAAACTTTAAGATATATAGGAGCTACCAAATACAAATGAGGGTTTATAAATGCAAAATTCAGGAAACTAAAATATTCTGATGTGACTTGTGTTTGAACTAGGTGGGCCCACTCTCGCGCCACTTCCCTCTGGTGGTCCCGGACCTCCTGTTCTTCGGCGGGTCCACCACGAGATCAGACCGCCGGTCCGAGAAATTCCAGGCGGAGTCCATCGTCCGGTTGGTGGACCAGCTCGGAATCAAAAAGTTTAACGTGGTGGGGACCAGTTACGGGGGGTTCGTGGCCTACCACGTGGCGAGGGCGTGCGGGGGTCGGGTGCTCCGCGCGGTGATCGCGAGCTCCGACGTTTTGAAAGGAGAGGAAGACGATAGGATGCTGATGGAGAGAGCGGGAGCGGAGGACGTTGTGGATTTGATGGTACCGGGGAGCACTGGAACCCTGAGGAAGCTTATTGGGTTAACGGTTTACAAATCGCCGAGGTTTGTGCCCGAGTTCGTTTTAAGGGATTTTGTACAGGTAATTAATTAAGTTGGCTTTTTATTTTGTAGTTTGGCATATGTAACTCTCAAAGGTGATAAATATACTAGTAAAATGTACTTAATTTGCTAGTGTTATCATACGTGTGACTCGACTAAAGTTGACACAAACGTGTCAACTTTGAGAAATTATGCAAAATAGAAATTTAATATGTCGTAGTCAATGTGTAATTTTCCATATTTATCTTTTTTTTTTCTAGGTTGCCCTGTTCTGGGAAATTTCAAAATCGCCTACAAAAAATATTAGCTAGTAATAAGAGAGCAAGTTTGACATTTATCTTTTTTTTCCCCTAAGTCAAATGTAAGCTTAATAACAAAAGATAGCATCTCATCAGCTTTCCCAAATGAAATGAATTTTTTAATATAAATAAAACATAAATCATGGTCATTATACTTTCTTTTAGTAGAACAATATACTCTTCTGTAAGCTCTCCGGATACATAAATTAGTCTCTTAAGATACAAATCCAGTTTCATTGAATTGTTAGTAATGGTGAATAATTTTACATTTGTTACAGAATATATACAAGACAAACTTGAAGGAGAAGGTGGAGCTCATAAAGGCAATTTCTCTTGGCAACAAGAATGAGTTTCAACTTACTCCCCTCTCTCAGGTAATTCTTATCATTTGTTAACTCGTTAGAGATACACATTATTTACATATGATAACAGGTTAATTGCGCATAGATCCCCTGTAGTATATCATGTTATGCCAATTATGACAAATAGACCCTTCTCGGGATAAAAGAGTCAATAAAGTTCACTGGCAATTCGTGTATCTGCCTATTTCAAATTAAAAGCTAATAAGTAAAATTGTGCACGTAATTAGCTCATAATTGGATTTTATTTATTAATATTTTGAAAAGACTAAGTTTCTTTGTTGATCGTCTTTTTTTAGGATGTTTTGGTCATATGGGGAGATCATGATCGTATTTTCCCACTCGATAAGGCGATTAAAATCAAGGAGTAAGTTTTTGCCTATATCTTTGTAACACTAGTCTTACATTCATAATAATATATACAAATATTTAAAAAAGGAAGAAGGAGAAAAATAATATTGTACATAATACTTAAAACATGCACGAAGAAAGACGATTATAAGTTTAACCTCATATATATATTAGTGTATCTCTTATTGTTTTTATGATCACAGGAAACTCGGAGAGGGAGCTAGACTAGAGATTGTGAAGAACACGGGTCATATGCCAAACACCGAGGATCCGACCCGATTCAACGAGCTCCTCTTGGACTTCTTGATGAATGACCCCAAACCTTCAATATTGTAAAACTTTGCAAACATTTTTCTATGTATTGAGCAGACTTTTATCTAGAAGCTGAATAGAGAATAAGAATTTTAGTTGAGTAGGATGTCATACTCTTTGAAATTCTCCCGTCTCTTTATTGACTCATCAAATGCCATGATGGTTCGTTATTAGAATTTTACTTTGCTAAACTATAGACTTTCAGAATTTGTATTAATCTCCTTAACTGACTTAGGAAAAGAATAAATACAATCTCTCACTATAACATCTCTATAACTGACTTAGAAAAAAAATTACAATTCTTCGTTATCGATTTTCCGATTTACAAAAGAAGGAAGAAATCGACGGAGATCCTTCCCTTTGTTTAAAACTAGGTTCTTCTTGGTATCGATAAGAGTTTAAATATTGTATCCCGTTGACGACCCGAACGCTTCGCCTCATAAAACTTGGTTGATTATTTCTCTTTATGTGAAGAACTTGCAATGCAAGTTTAAAACTCTCACGAGTTTAGGAACTCTGAACGAGTTTGAGAACTCGGTGAAGAGTTAATTTGAGAAAGGAAATTAATCCTTTATGGTTTAACCGAAACTCGGTTCACAAGCCAAGGAAAAGCTCCAAGAACGGCTCTTGATGATGCTCCCAACTCTCCAAGCTCTGATGTCGATCCTCTCAAGATGATCTGCTAATAAGATCTCGCTGAAGATCCGCCAAAGGATCTCACCTCCTCCAAAGATCCAAAAACTCCAGCCCCAGAAAGATCTAGCTGAAGATCTGCCCAAAAAGATCTAAGATAATTTTCGATCTCCAGATGATCCAAAGATCTAGCCGAAGATCCTTTTTAAGCTGATTTTCAACTATTTATAGGGGTTTTAGAGGTGTAACTAACCCCTAAAATCGCTCATTAGTGGGGTTTTGATCCCCTCAAATCGTGAAAAATGGTTTTAGAACCGTTTAGCTCGTGTTTGAACGAGTCAAACGCGAAATTCGCGTTCTGAGCATGAACTCTGCGTCTTGAACTTGAGATGCGGAGTTGAGTTCTACGTTTGGGGTCTGAAAATGCAGTGGTGAACCCTGTTTGCGTCGAAAATTAATGTATTCATTGCGGTATTCATTACAACTTCGGTCGTTACAATGAAAACAAAAAGATAATCTTTTTATAAGATCTTTACACAATGAAAACAAAAGTTACAACTCTCGTCAAAACAAACGCAGAGATCGTTTATCGGTCTTCTGCTTGCGTGGGATCTTTGCCTGTGCCGGGGTTTATCCGTGGACCGCCTTTGATCTGGATCCGGTTGATGAAAAATTTAGCAGAGCTTCGTCTTCACCGAGAAAGTATTTGATTTGAAGCGCTGAGATCGACCAAGCGAAATCAGGGCTCTTCTCGAGATTAAGACCAAGCCTAATCTCAAGGGACAGACGGGAACGGGCGTCAGATTTCTCGAACTCTCCTTTTTTATGCCGAAGAACTCGCCAAGATCTGTCAACCCTCGCTGAAATTCGTGCTCCTTTGACTCCACAATCCGGCAGCACCTCCTCGTCTTGATAATCAATCGCCCCAGAAAATGGAGGCTTTATAGGGCTTCGGAAGCGGTTATTTGGATGAGAACAAGTGATTTGACTCTATCTTCAGTTAACAACAGCCTAACCACGTTTGGGGGATGATATCAGGTCAGTTAAGAACCCTTGGAACAGATGAATCCTGCAAAAAACCACTTTAAAACCGTCAAAACGCATTTCGGGTACCAAACTACGCGGCAGATTGATCTGACCTGCGCTTGCGCGGGTCGGACCAATCCGACCCGCGCTTGCGCGGGTCGGACTGATCCGTCCCGCGCTTGCGCGGATCGGAATCATCTGACCCGCGCTTGCGCGGGTCGGATTGATCCGTCCCGCGCTTGCGCGGGTCGGATCATCCCGTCCTGCGCTAGCGCGGGTTCGCCGACTTTTTCCCTTTTCTGTTTTCCTTCTTCGGGGATTTATTTTTGTCGCGTATTCGGTCGTCTTGTTGACTTGTACGCTTCGTTGTGGAATTGACCGTCGAACGCGTGTTGATTGACACATACGTGTTGATTGACGCACGCATGTTGATTGACGCGTGCAAGCTGATTAACGTGCGCGTGTTGATCGACATGCACGAATTGATTGTCACGCGCGTGTTGATCGACGCGCATGAACTGATTGACGCGCGCGTGTTGATTGACGCGTGCGAGCTGATTAGCGCGCACGAGCTGACTGTCGAGCGTGTAGGTTACTTGATTCGCCATTTTGCTTCAGGCGCTTGTCGGCGTCAGATAATCCTCTTAGACTCGGATAACGATGTTCGTCGTCTTCTCTCTGTCTCAAGCTGTGTACGGATACCTATATGTATTTTTAGACGCCTACAGATACCCCCTCCAAAGTATTCCAGACTCATTCTTTTATTAAGGAGTCTGGAATGCTTTGGATAAGATAGGCCATCTCCTCAATTTCGTAGAGTGGCCTTGAACTATCTCAATTCTTAACTTCTTCAGTCTTCAATCTATTCATTATTTCGTCGAATAGGTGAAGTTCTTCCGGCGCTGCGTTTATCGTCTGACCGCTGTCGAAATCTTGAACTGAGATTGGTGTATAACTTTCTGAACTTAGCTCGTACCATTGAGTTGACTTTGAACTGATCCTCTCCGTCGGGAATTCATATCTGATTGTAACTGAAATCCTTGGAGTCATCTTTTGCCTTATTTTGGCGAAATTGCTGATGCGTTGACCGGCATCGATCTTTACTGTAACGCGTTGACCGGCGTTAACACAGTTTATACTCGTACGTTTGCTGGAGTCTACACAGTTTAAGCTCTTAAGGCATTGGAGCGTGACGGTCCCGAATGTTGGGCTGCAGGACCAACTATTAAAGCTGATTCATCTGCACGTGTGGATCTTATCCTGAAGTTTGTTGGATGTTCAAGTCATGAGACCAACTAATGAAGCTAATACGTCAATGACTCGCATTTATAGAATTTTTGGCAAATTCTCAGCCATCAACGGGTTTGATAAGCCTTTACCGACTACCGTTTGAGTCGGGCTAGCATGCGGATTGTTTAAGTCCGTTCCGCATGTAACGTTATGCTAAAAGAGTTAACTCTTTTAGTGCTACGATATTGAATACGTAGACTTCGTCTTTCTCCTGTGAAAAGACTAAACAGCGACGTGTATCAGACGTAGACTTTAAGGTTTTTGGCAAACCCTCAGCCTTCAACGGATTTGGCGTGCCTTTACCGATTACCGTTTGAATCGGGCTTGCATGCGGATTGTTTAAGTCCGTTCCGCACGTGACGTTGTGCTAAAGGAATGAACTCCCTTAGACTTGATGCTACGATATTGAATACGTAGACTTCGCCATTGTTACGGGAATAGGCTACCCGGCAACGTGTGTTAGACGCTGACCTATCCCTACTTAGGCTTCGGGATAAAAGTCCCCAGATTGGAATTCTGGTGTCTTCTTCAATCGGTGAAAGACTAAACCGGCAACGCGAGTACTGGATTCTGGTGTCTTTTTCAATCGGTGAAAGAGTAAACCGACAACGCGTGTTAGGTGTTGACTTATCCCTACTCAGGATTCGGGATAAAATTCCCCGTGCCTGTGAGGCACGGATTTTAGGAGTTTAAAAAATTAGTGTCTTCTCCTGGGGCAAAGACGAAACCGATGCGGAAGAGGAAGAATTTTATATCCTATCTCCCAAAGCTGAAGAGGAAAAATTTTATATTCTATCTCCAGTTGGAAATGAAACTCGAGGTGGGATCTTCACCCCCAGAATCCGGAAAGATGAAACTAGGAGTGGGATCTCCACTCCGAGAATCAAAAAGATTAGGATAACCCTAACTGTCGGAAGGTTTGATTATCGAACTAAAGGTGAGTTTCTCGTTTATCGAGAGTGAATTGTGGTTTTGGTCCTTACTGTAGGAAGGTTTGACAAAGGGGGAGTTTGAGGTGATCCTAACTGTAAGAATGTTTGATCACTCGATTTGAAAGTGGACCTCTCGTTCATGGAAGGAATCGAGAGGAGATTATGGTTGTGGTCCTAACTGTAGGAAGGTTTGACCAGGTGGGAGGTTTGAGGCGACCCTAACTGTAGGAAGGTTTGACCAGGTGGGAGGTTTGAGGCGACCCTAACTGTAGGAAGGTTTGATCACTCGATTTGTGGACCTCTCGTTCATTGAAGGAATCGAGAGGTTTGACCAAGTAAAAAAAATAGGAGTGGGAGTGCAAATCACAGTGGGAGTGTTGACTTGTACCGATTACTCAATGGGGATTCTTGGTGTTGAGTGACAAATACTTAACACAAGGAGGTTTGACATTCGTCAATGTTAAGTGCACAGACGCATCAAAAGTTTGAGTGGGTTCAAACGAAAGGAGTTTTGGTGGTCCCACCGTCAATTAGTCTGATCGGTGGGGGATTTTATGGTGGGAGACTGTGAGTCATCAAACACCAATGAGAGTTTTGTGAGAGAAAATTGATCCCACGAAATGATCGAATCTTGTCTCAGCAAAAGAGTGTTCGGAAATCACGGTGGGTTTAGTGTTTATCACTTTATTTGTAATGATCGGGTTATCCCTAAGAAAATTACATGTAGCATTCTTCCGGGAACTTCCCGTTACATGCCACCCCCAGCTTCCTTTACGAAACCGGGTCTAAAATTGTAGTGAGTTACATGACCAGGTTATCCTTAAGAATATTACATGTAAAAATTCTCCAGGAACTTCCCGTTACATGAATCATCCACTCCCAGCTTCCTTCGCAAAACTGGGTCTAACATCATAGTGAGTTACATGACCAGGTTATCCTTAAGAATATTACATGTAAAAATTCTCCAGGAACTTCCCGTCAAGTGTGGGAAACAGTTTAGACTTATATACCTGTTGGAGTATCAGGGAGCAGTTTAGCCTCATATACCAGTTGGAGGATGGAGAAGCAGTTTATACTCGTATACTCTTCGGAGTGTTCATTCGGTTTAATTGAGCGATATAACGCCGGCTTCAACCAAGGTTTAGATGCTATTCTTAAGAGCGAAACAAGCCTTGGTAGGATGAAGGATCCTCCTGTGGTACGCACAGTACTTCGGATCCGC